ATAAAATCTTACAATATCTAAAATAGTAATAGTCTCTGAGAGGCCCATGAAGACTTTTTCCTCTGAGGAAGAAGAATATAAATAATTGAATGGAAGATAATTTTATACTTTTTAGATAAGATTCTGAATGCTGAAAGCCCAGCTGTCCCATGTAATATTAAGCAGTTATTGATGTTTAATGAGGTGAACTCAGAGAAGTCAATATTTTCCTTGAGATGAGATGGCTTGGGAATAAGGCTTGACATCTCATTATTTGAGATTCATGAGAGGGAACTATGGGGGAGGGGCAAGAGCATCAGACTAGAGACCTAAGTTCAAAGCCTGGCTCTTCCATTAATTTTCTTGATCACCTTAGGCTTAATTTCAATTCTCTGGACTAACTTTTCTCTCCTGAAAAAAGAATAGGTAATATTCAGAGTCTGTTCCAGAACTAACATTCCACTTAACCCCTGCCTGCCTCAGTTTCCTCGACTATAAAGTGGGGTTCATAATGGCACCTACCTCCCAGGGTTATGAAGATAGTATGAGATAATATTTGTAAAGTACTTTGCAAACCTTAAAGCACTATGTAAATGCTAGTTATTAAAAGCGAGTACAGTTATCTCTTCCACTTTATGATTTTCTCTATCACAGTTTCTGTATATAGTGGTTTGGCATAAAAATTACATGGGAATTTTGGGGGAGTTTTACAGAAGCTATAGATGATATGCAAAGGCCAGAAGACAGAAGAAGTTTAGAAGCTCAGAAATGCATAAAACATATACATGCATTGTATGGTATCAACATGTTTTTATCTTTAATAACATAATAATTCAGACTTCTCTGGAACGAAAGGAAGGGTAGAAAAGAGGGGAAAGCACCATGCCTCTGACTCCCTCCCTCTCCAGAGCTGCACAGTGGAAGGGATAACTGTAGTTATTCAGAAGTGTAGCTCATGCAGTGCAGATTTGGCTACCACTTTACCTGTTCAGAAGTCAGCAGGGGTTGTCAGAGGACAAAGCTGGAGCTGGCTAGAATGTATCTCCTGTATTCCATGTAGTCATCAAGGATGAGAAGAAAAGCAAACACACCTGAATGCAAAGGGAAGGTTATTTGCTGCTTGAACTCAGCATTAACATCAGCCTAACTTGACCTTTGGGTTATTTCTCCTTTCCTTGTGGATTCAAGGGAGCCGCAGGATATCTTAATTACTCTTTTGAGGAAGCATTTCTTTCCTCTGTGGTGGAGTTATTATTTCTTCTGAATGGTAATATTATTGTTGGATTGGATCTTTTAGATGGAATTCCTCTGGATAGATAATCTTCCCAAGTTAGAAAGCCATTAAAATACTATATGAAAAAGAAATGGCTCTGAGTTTCTGTTCTATTCACCACCTAGGGAGAAAAACAATGGGAACTTACTTACTGCATATTAATATTTCCAGCCAATCCAGAGTCATGATTTTTTCCGCTCCTCAAGGCAACTTTTCAACGTATACTTGTAACTTGGGGAAATCTACTCAAATCTTTACCTACTTTACTCTAGGCAATCTCCTAGTGAATTGAGGGAAAAGCTAATTCTTAATTGTAAAACAAAAATTCCTTTTCATTTTAGTTAAGCACAGAAACATTGTTCTAATGAGCTTTTATGAGGTTTTGTCTCTCCAGTCAATGCAATTCAGTTTGACATATACTCATTAAGAACCTTATGTGTTAACGACTTTACGAATACAAGTGTTATCATGTTGTTTGCTTTCTCAGGGGTTGAGGGAGGGACAAGGAGAGAGAGAATTTGGAAATTTAAAATTAAAAAATATTAAAGATTTTAAAAACTGCAATTGGGAAATATTTAACAAAATAAATAAAAAAAATGTTTTTAGAAAATAACCTATTGATGAGGTCTAGAGGTTAGGGGTCCTGGAATCCCAAAATCATGACACGTGGGTCCTGTCCAAAAGAATTCAACCCAAGCCTTCTTTCAGTGAAAAACAAGGTTTATTGAAGATTCGCCATATTAGCTAGACTCTTAGGGAATCTGAGCATCTGTGGGCTATTGGCTAGATTGTGAAAATCTGAGCATCTTAATGCTGACAAGATGGACCTTATATACAGAAAGACTGTGGAGGGATCTAGGAGTGGCCAAGTAGTCTATGAGGTAATAGAATTCCAGGGAAATAGAGCCTAGGTAGGACCAAGGGTGGGAAGTGGCCTGGGGCCATAGGCTAGGCAAGACAATGGAGGGCCAGGCTAGGTCAAGGAGAATAGAATTGGAGGATTGAATATAGCCAAAAGGAGAGACCATTGACAGAATCATGGCCTCAGGGGAATGCCAGAGATCTCCTTGATGAAGAGGGAGAATTCAAGGACAGTCCAAGGGTTTTCTAGGGCCCATAGACAAATGAGGCCCAAATTGGGACAAAGGTCTCACTTTGGGCCCATACCCCATCACCTATTACATACTTGTTGGACCCTATGTTACATATTAGGGATACAAAGACAAGATGTACCAGTCCCTGGTCTCATAGCCGCAATCGTGCTTTACTTTATTGCCTGGCCATGTTCTTGAGAGCATGCCTCTCACTGCGGGACTCAGCACTGAGCCCTGCATTGGTGCTGATTAGTGAGCTATCTCACATGGCCCAATTTTCTTAATCTGCCCCAGCCACGCTTTATGTTTTGACCTGGCAGCCACCCTGGCACAGCTCCAGATCAGAAGCTGTGCCCTGGAGAACATAATCCTTTCCGCTTACTCCCTGCACCTCTCCTACCCCCTTCTTGTTTAGGAACCACAATTAAATCTATGTTGCCATTGCCAGTGGAAAGGATGTATTCATACTTATTCACAACCTTCTATCTTTACTCATCATGGCCATAATTTAACAGATCAAAGTAGCCCTCTCTGGCCAGCACTCCCCAGTATGGTTTGTCTCTTCCTGTTAGTATGTGAATTTCTTGAGGGCAGGGACTCATTTTTAGTTTCGCATTTTCATCCCTAACAGTTAGGCAAACTGTTAAGTACTTGTATCCTTTTTTTATTCATTTTTCATTCATTCATTCATATATTGGTTGATCTATCTTTATCCAGGTCCATTCAGTAAATATGAGTGCCTCCTTTGTGCAAAGCACCTTACTTCTTTTTAGGGATACAAAGAAACATGACTTAGTCCTTGTATTTGTGTGTGGGGTGGAACAATAGAGTAAATACAAATAAAGTATAATATGAGATAATGGGTTAACATTTCTATAGCACTTTAAAATTTGCAAAGCATTTTACATATGTTGCCTTGATGGGGTATGGGCTCAAGCCAGACCTTCACCCCTTGCCCCAAAGGGAATCTGGCTCCCTTTTGTTTACTGGCCCCAGAAAACCCTTAAACTTTTCTTCTTATCTCTCTTTGAAAGCTCTAGGCCCACCTTTTGCCTTCCAAACTTCTTCCTTCCAGTTCCCTTCATTATATATTGCCATTGTCTATTCAGTCCAATTGGAATTCTCCCTAAGTCACTCAGACTCTCTTCCCAGCCACTTCTCTTGTCACCCAAAGTTACGTTACTGTATATAAGATCCACCCTGGCCCCCATTTAAACACTGAGACTTTCTCATACCCACTAGGCCCTACAGGTGTCACTGATGTTCAGATTCCTTAAGGGTGTGGCCTTAAGTTTATGGTTTATGGTTTATCTCTAATAAACTTTTTCTCTGGCTGAAAGAAGATTGGGGTTGAATTCATTCAGGCAGGACCCACATGACATGATCTCGGGGTCCCAGCACCTCTAAACCTCTAGACCTCATCAGTCTCATTTGATCGTCACAACAACCCTATAAGGTAAGTGCATTTTTGTTATATATCTCCATTTTGCAGATGAAGAAGCTGAGGAACAGAGCTATTATGTAGCTTTTCTTGGATCATACAGGAGGTGATTTGAACTCAGGTCTTTCCAACTTCAAGTCCAGTGCTCATCTTACCACCCAGTTCAGGAGGGGAAGAGTAAGGCTAAATAGCTGCTAACAACTGAGGGAATCAGGAAGAGCTTCCCAGAGGAGGAAACTGAACTGGCCAACTCCAAGTTACTTCTCCATGTAAGGAGAGCACTTAGGGAAGCCTAATCTTTCAGGCTAACTGGGGACTCTAGGTTTGGGCAGCTTTCTAAGTCTTTCTCTTACTGTTACCAAGCCTATGGCAGGTCCAGAGACTCACAGATTAAATCCTGGAAGGGATCTCAGAGGTCACCTCATCTAATCCTCTCATTTTACAGATGAGGAAAGAAAGAGTTGGCAGTTAAGTGACTTGTTTGAATTTATATGGGCTAATACTACTGTTCACATAGGCACAGCTGGGATTTGAACCCAGGGCTTCTGACTGCCAATCTAGCCCACTTTCCAATGTACTATCAGGTCTTTCAGGAGAATAGAGTTACTTTTTTCTTTTCTTTTCAAAAGATAGGAGGCTTTGCATGATGTCCAAACAGTCATCAAAAGATGATGTGTGTGTCAAAAACCTAAGGTTATTTTGCTGTAGTGGTAAGACAGACACCTGCATATTTCATTGACTTCTAAATTTTGCCTGGCATGAGGTAGGCACTACCAAGTTGGTTGGATCTCCTGTCTTTGTGTCAAAGCATTTCATAGGCAATTTCATCTTTTGTGAAGTAGATTCAAAGAGACTAACATACTATCTGGAACTTGTATAATATATTATGGTAGAGCAAGATGAAGCACTCCTTTAAACTAGCTTCTGTCTCTTTTTCTTTCTCCTCCCCCTCCTCCCTCCCCTGAGGGGGATGATAATGATAACTTCTATCAGGCTCCAGCATGTGTCCTGAGCCTTTGGCTAGTGTTTTACTGACTGATGCTTTATTCATTCACATCAAAACACAATCAGGTAAGAAAAACCCAATTCTTATTCCAGCTGTTTTCCAAACTGTTAAAAACAAACACACATACACAGCAGTAACATTATTGTGAATGTATACCATATTTATTTTTGAATCTTTTATTGAATTTCTCTTTGTAGTGGTGATGAAGGGCATCACTTTCATAGGAATTAATTGGAGAGGCAATTCCCATCAAATAAAGGTGAAATGAAATTCAGCAGGCAGATTCTTGCTTGTTGCTCACATTGACATGTTACTTAGAAGCTTACCCAGTGCATTTCGCAGAATAGCCTGATGAACCAAGCAGTGCAGGTGTTATGTTGTTGGTCCCACATGTGAGGATATGAAGGCACAAAACCACGTGACCTGCCCAAAGTGGAAAGCCAGGAATTAAATCAAGGTGTTTTGGTTGCAAGTATCATGCTCTTTTCACTACATCAATTCATCTTTGGTTTGAGGGATGGAGGAGAAATGCAGATAGTTTTCAGGCCTCTTTCTTGAATAGGGGCCCCTGGAAGTAGCTCAGGTTCAAGGCACTCTGTGAGTCATCAATGACTCTAACCTATAGTTCACTGTTTTGTTTACTTTTACTAAGCCAAATTGACAACACGTTAGTTCAAAACCAAAGTTACATTTAATGAAACAGCAGAACAAATTAAGTGACAAGACAAGTTCTCCACTACCCCACTATGTTGCTAGCAGTGAGAGGGAGAGCTCTGTAGTCTCTCCTGGGAGATGATCTGGATCCTCTTTTAGATATTTATGCCACATGTGAGTCGGCCATATCATTATAGTATACTATCCAACCATACATATTTTGACCACTAATAGTGTCTTTATTAAGAGAGATACTGGTAATGGCTTCAATTCAATTTGACAGACATCCAGTAAATATGCTCAGTAACTCATCTGGCAGGAGGTAAGCAAGCCTTGCTAGGGCAGCCAACCATGCAGAAGGAGTGAGAGAAAGAGGCATGTGCCAGCAGAGTCAGAATACCAACTTCACCTCTCCTGAGATCCCCATGGAGAGAGCCTAGCACCCAGAACCCAAGAGCCTTGGGAATGGTAGTGACTTCCAGACCACTGGCTATGTTTCCAGCCCAGCCACAGCAGCCATCATCCCAGGAAGCAACCCCTGTGAAACTGCAGCCTGACAACTACTTCTGTGGGTGTTGTAGCCCCAGTTACTGAAGACTTGAAAAGAAAGTTCTCTCCACAAAAGACAGTGGCTCTTTCTAACAGTTCAACATCTGAAAAAGATATGGTTTTACCAGTGAAAATGACAGTAATGAAGATATATCACCATCTTCTTTGCCACTACACCCTAAGGATCCTGGGATCTTTCCATTAGACTTGTTTGTGGGTTGTTTCTTCCAGGAGAATAGGAGCTCTTCAAGAGCAGGGATTTTGTTGCCTTTCTCTTTGTCTTCCTAGTACTTAGCAAAGTGCTCTGCATGTAGTAAAGGCTTAAATGATTTTTCATTCATTTATTTATCATAGGAGGAGATACAGGTGTTTGGAAATAAATATTCTTACGATGTGTTTATTAGGGAAGATCTATATTTTCCTGTCCTCTATTTTAAGATAGAACCATGTAGCTTGAAAGGTCTCAGGAAAGTCAGCTAGTACATATTGTAAATATAAGGTAATGATAGAATCCCCACCCCGACTTTAGACCCCAGAGTCTGTACTTGACTGTCTCTGTGCCTTTTCTTATGCTTGCCCTTGGAATGCCTCCTTTCTTCTTCTTCTTTATGTGTTGATTTTCTACAAAGCCCAACTCAAATTTCGCTTCCTTCACGAAGCCTCCCATGAATCTTCTTGTCTATGTTGACTTTTATCCTGGTCCTCGTCGAATAATATCCTTGCACCTCTCTAATGCACTGATCATATATCATTGAATATTATACTTACCTATATTTGCGTATTATCCTCTGAGTGAACCAGAAATGTATCTAAATTTTATGTCTTCTCAAGGTCAGTACTTTGTATCCAGTAGGAATTCAATAAATACAAATTAAATTGAATTTTATGTAGCTTGTCTCATGACTTTATACTTAAACTACTGCCATTTCCCAGCCTAGCATCAAGACAAAATTTAAACAATTGGCAAGGGATTCGGGACCAGTTTTGAAGGACTTTGTATCAGGAGATTCTAGCATCTCCCTTTAAAAAAACAGCAACAGCAGCAGCAGCAATAACAACTAAACCCTTAATTTTTCTATCTAAAAACCTTTACATTTAGGAGACCCTAATGTCTAATCTATGTTCTTCTTAATGTACTTTAAGTTGGTGCATTTCCTAATGTCTCTTGTCATTTGCTAAGCAACCTTTCCTTGAAGTTGGGGAGGATGGAGGGGAAGAGACAAGATTTATTTTTTTGTTTGTTTTTTTGTTTGTTATTGTTCAGTCTTTTTCAGTCATGATATGACTCTTTGAGTTCCAATTTGGGATTTTCTTGGCAAGGATGCTAGAGTGGTTTGCCATTTCCTTCTCTAGCTCATTTTACAGATGAGGAAACTGAGGCAAACAAGGTAAAGTTACTTGCCTAGGGTCATACAGCTAGTAAGTGTCTGAGGCCAGATTTAAACTCAGAAAGATAAGTCTTCCCTGATTCTAAGCCCTGTGCTATATCCACTGTGTCATCTAGTTGCCAGAGTGTTTTAGAAAGTGTTAATTTTATTCTTTGGTTTACTTATTTTAGAGAGAAGACTATTGCAATTAAAAGAGGAAACAATCCAAGTTTGATTTCCTACCTATATAATGTAAAGTGTTCCTTTGGTGTTATATTTAGCTGTATTTGTAAAAGATTGGGATGCCCCCAAAAGCATTCCTTCTGCTGCAATGTGCCCCCCCAACCCATTTCACTGCTTCAGTTAAGTCTTCATATCCTTTGCCACTGAAACTTAATCCTCTCTCCTTTCCATCTTGAAACATTTAAGTGTAACCCCTATGTATGTGCTTTGGAAAAGGATTTTATTTTCTGTCTAGGAAGTAACAACAGTTCAAAGTATTCACTTGTCCAGTATTAGAAAATGCTTATCATATTTGGATAAAGCAAGATGATTCTAGTTTTTATGCCAATTTTGAAAGTTTTGTGTATGGAAGGAAAGACTATAGCTCACATTTATCTAGTCCTCTGATATTTGCAAATCACTTTACAATTATTATCTCATCCTATTCTTACAACCCTGTAGAGTAGGTGCTATTATAATACCCACATTTGTACAGATGAGGAGGCTTGGAGATAAAAGGGTAGGGTCACACAGCTAGTAAATGTCAGAGGTAGGATTCAAACCCAGGTCTTCTCAACTTCCAGTACAGTGCTTTATACAATATAGCATACTGCCTAAGGGTGACATGTAGCAAACAAAAGAAATACAACATGAATTCAATAAGGCACGTGAATGAATGAAACATTTATTGAGGGCTTACTATATTCAAAACACTGTGTTTGCCCTTAATGGTTTCCAAAGACAAGCCATTTGACAATGCCACAGACTTTATGTATTCAGTAGTTATGACTAATAAAGAAATCAAGGCCTGGGGCACCTGCAGAAGCAGTGGCCAGGTCAAATCTCCACAAAGGTTTCTTCCCTGATCATTGTATGCATAGGCTAGTCTGGGAGGCCCTGCTATCTGCAGGACTCTTGGTCCTGGCCTATCTTCACTGGTATCTGAGGGAAGGTAGAGGTCAAGGTGGTGATGGAAGTTTGATTTTCTTGGTACATACCATCTCCTGTCTCTCCCTTAGGTTGCCTTGCTGCTATATAAACATTTGACAACTTCTCTTTGCCTCAGTTTCCTCATCTGTAAAATGATGATAATAATAGCACCTACCTCCCAGGGTTGTTGTGAGAATAAAATTACATAATGTTTGTTAAAGTGCTTTACAAACCTTAAGTATAATTGACGTTATTATTTTCATCTTTTTAATTTTTGGAGAGGGGTGTTGTAGTCTGTATAGTGTATTGGTTAGAGCGCCAGAGTAGAAGTAAGAAAGATTGTTTTTCCATTCTATTTCCCATCACTTACTAGATGTGGGATTAGAGGTGAATCATTAGACCTCTTTGAGCCCAGATTTAATCTCTAAAATGGGTATGATAATAATACCTCTAGTTGTTACTTCTCAGAGTTGTTGTGAGGATAATTTGAATGAATATACGTGAAATGCTTTGGAATTTTGTAGTGTGATGTAAATGTCAGATAATATCATGACATATTGGTTGATGTATAGTTTGTAGGAAATATTGAGATATACATTCCCTCCACCCCCATCATATGTTACTTTATAGATCAGTAAGGAATATTTAGATCAGAGGCTCTTAATCATTTTTGTTTATGTCACTGGATCCTTAGGAGTCTGGTGAAGCCTATGGGTTTCTTCTCAGAATGATATTTTGTGACTTACATTCATAATTGAAGGGAATCTTAAGTTTCAGTTAGAGATTAGTGAAAAAAATGTGATTTTTTTCCCTCACGTTCACAAATACTCTGATATCTCTCCATATATCCCTTGTGTGTCCATGTTCTTCTTGAGGATCCATGGCCTCCAAGTTAAAAACCTTCACCTAAGAGGGTATGTGTTTGTTGGTGTCTCTGTGTGTGTATATATTTGAAAAATGTACTTTCTTTCCATTCCAGTTTCTTAGACTTCTTAATATCCTATGCCCTTTCTTGATCTCCACCTCCCAGATCCTTCCATCCTTTCTCCTTCCCTCCTTCCTTTCCTGCCTTGTTTCTTTGTGCCATGTTGTCTCTCCTGATAGAATTTAACTTTGAGGGCAGGTATTATTTTATTTATTCATTTATTTATTTATTTGTTTGTTTGTTTGTTTGTTTGTTTGTTCATTTTTGTTTGTATCCCCAGAGTCTATCATAGTGCCTGGCACATAGTGGATGCTTAACACAGGCTTGCTGATTGATTGATGATGTTCTTGTTTGAGTGGATATCTTATTAAAAGGCAGCATGCTGTAGTATAGGATAGCATACCAGACTTGGAGACAGGAAGACCTGGGGACAAACTTTGTCTGCTTGTCACATAGTAGGGCACTTAATGAAAACTGATCACGGGCAAGTTGATTAATTTCTCTAAATGTTATATAACTTTGAAGATTGGACATTTTAGGCAAGAGCCTAAGGTAGCTGTCTTAAGACAGTAAGTCATAAATGGGTTGCAGTCTACTTTGGTGGAGAGATTTACTATACCAGCACTTTCCAAATGGGTGAAATCACAATCCTGTGCGATAAAGTTATGCTGACTTCATAAGTAAGATGACAGGGTAAACCAGTATGATCTCCTAAGACTTTAATAGTAATTTAGTCCAATCTTTCTTGGGGTTGGAGTGTGTGCACGTGAGTGCTT